AGGCCGATGAGACAGGGGTTGGTAGGTGAAGAGGAGAGAAAATGAGTGATGTGTAATCTCTCCAGCACAGATTATTAGGCTTTTGAACTCACAAAGTGCCAAGAGATGGCAATAAAGCATGTATATGTGCAAAGGAGGGGACGAGGGAATGTATAATGCAGAGTTAATACTGCCGGCTCTTAGTGTTAATTTTGGTCTGTCACTCTTCTAAAGGCCATCGCTGTGGGCCATCACCCAGCCGCACACATCCGCCAGCCCTGCAAATGTCACCATCTACACAGGAGGCTGTGCATGTGTGTGTCTGTCACTGTGTCACTCTTAAAATATTTCTCAGTTTTCTGCTAAATCGGTCTAAATTCAGCCTCACTGTGGATATGTAGATGCACCGATGCATCCACTCCTACAGGTGGAGCCTTGGATCCTCCCACAGGTGGAGCCTCTTTTTATTTGGTAACTGATGGGAAGCCGGTCGTCAGAGACTCTTACAATCATCAAACCACAGACTGTAGATACAAGAGGAAGTCAATGTGAATGAAAACAAACCTGTTTCTCTACATGTCTTTACAATAACATCTTCGCAAGTGAGGTAGAATTCTGGGACATGTAGTCGACAACACGTCTATGGACTGGATCAAATAAATGATCAAAAATAAAATAGTCAACGGTGAAAACACTGAGAGTCTTAACATGTTTAAGTTGATAATAAAAAAATGATCATTAAAACTTAGAACCTTTTGACTAACTGTATCAATGAATACACCTGTCCTCTGACACAGTTCTGATGAATGACTGTAAAACTATCTGACATCGTGGCTATTGGATGGTAGGGGGTTGAAACCACCAAACCACATGTGCTCTCTTTTCACCCTGAGGACTCCCCTTCCTCATGACCTCCTCCTGGGCCTGCGTGTGTGTATACCTTGGAGAAAGAACCTAATGTGAGATAAAATAACAGATGAAGGGATGAAGGCTGGGAGACAGAGAAAGAGCTGAAGGGAAAAAACAATGGAAAAGAAAATTCTACGAGAAGTTGAGGAGGAGGAAGGAGACAGGGCGCCTCGGCGGTTGATGCAACTTTGAGCCAGAGGGTTCCAGCTTAACAAAACAGTCTTCGAAGGGAACATTAGTGCACGTATGCACGCACGCACACACACACACATGCACACGCAACACCCTGTTCTACACACAACCACATGCAGGTGGGACTAACAAGGCTAGTGTGCCAATTTGCTGTGCCCCTGGTCTCCTCTCGGGAGACTCACAGACAGGCATCCAGCCATGCCAACACTGGCACTGGTCCCACTCACACACACACACACACACACACACATATGTGTATGTGTGTGAGAGCTCACACCTCCACTTTGCTTCACTGTTGCTGCAGGCACTTCACTATCAGGATTTTGCATGTTTGTATGTTTTTCTACATTTTCATAGCCCGAGAGAGACAGATGTTAGAAATTTGGGAGAATGTCTACAACACTGCGGTGATTTTTACAGAAGGAAAATAGAATAGTTTTGTTGTTAACTACACTTAAACCCACATGGATATTGTGGAAAAATAGATCTTTTTTTGCTTTGGAGTGCTGGAGATGAAAATTGGTGAGTTGGATAAAAAGGCTGTGTCACCTTGGCAAATAATGTTAGTTTGGAGCAGGACTGTGCTCAGTAAAGTAGGTGCTGCAGCATTTAGTTATTAGAAATTATTGCAAGCAAGCCAATTAATACACAGAAAACAAAAACTATATCAGTGCAACTGTACAGCAGAGAGCACTCACTTCATTGACTCACAAATCATAGATTTACCTTGTGAGACGATCATGATGCTACTACAATTTAATTTATCCTGATCAAAATTTCCTATAAAAATGAATAAAGGTTAGTTTTCACATTGCTAAAAGCTAAACAAATAGTACAATTACATTGGCATTAAAGATGAGTTCACGTCTTTTCTGCACATTTTCTTCGGTTCTAACTAGTTCTTCTTCATTTCCATACTTTCAAAACTGTCATCATTTTCTTGTGCCGGGACTCGTCCACCTCTGAGGACAGACTTTGCTGATCCAACAAGACATCACTCTGCTGCTTAAATCTAATTTCTAAGAAACAGAAACCCATGAGCTCGGCTATTCTGCTCCGTTCCTTCCCACGGCGCTAATGTCATTGTGACCGTCCTCAAGGCCAATTATGCAGCGTGTATTGTCTGATTGGACTGTGTATTGTTTCAGCAATCAGTACCACTGTGTTACTGTGTGTGTGTGTGTGTGTGTGGGGTGTCTGTCTGGGTGAGTGTGTCTTAATTCATTATCTGATGTGATAATTATCTTTGCAGAGGAGTGTGGAGAGGAGAGCATAAATTGAAAGATAAAGCCTGAAGAAAGAAAGGCCTGACTCCTGTCTTTCTGTCTTTTCAGGGGCCCACTGTGGCTCTAATCACGGAGACGCAGGGCCGTCCGCACTCAATTATTCACTAATTAGTCAGCAAACAGGAGAGGCCAGAGAATACTCTGTTCTCGGCACGCTGCTCTGCACAAACTGCATCCATCTCTTTGTCTGTCCCAGGCTCCGTCACCATTCAGGCAGCTATAACATACACGTCACATTGTCTAATTCTGCCTTGAAAGCAGCTTCAGCCAGTGGACATTAAGATAAACAATATTCCTGCTTCAGAAAGACTGTGACAACGGCTGGAGGTTCGTCAGAGTTGCAATTCAAGTTGGCCCGACTTTGATTTGTTTATCTGTTTTGTTTGTGGCGGCCAGACAACACTGCCCTCTGCACGATTTTAAATTGACAACTCAGACAAAAATCAATGTCTATGGCGCAGTGGGCTGTAACGGAGCAAAGTATCACAGAAAAAATACTGTTGGTCATAATCTCAAGCTAAATTGCCTGTCTGCTCCTGCTCCCAGTGATGCCGCTGCCTTGACTTACAGCCTGTGGAAATAATTACTGATGCTGCTGCACTGTTTTTGTGCCTGCCATCCATTTTCTGACGGGTTACTGAACCATGGAGATGTCAGTGTTCAGGGATGAGCAGCCTCTTTAACCAGAGGCCTGGTAAATATGACAGGAGTCAGATTCAGTCACTTCTGTGTCACCGATCAACCAGCAGGTGAATTAAACCTGTTTTCAAGCTGCAGCTCACCGCACCTCTGTCATAGTTTGTGTAAAGTTAAAGGTTCTTCGCTTCTGTGTATGTCGAGGTACACAGTCAGTCACAGTTGTGTTTTATCTGTTACTGAGTCGCGGGGGCAGCAGTCTCTATGACCACCACCCAAACCACACTGCACCGTACCAGCCCCTCGTGAACCTTGCTGCAGGTGGTGAGTCCACCGGAAGGCGCCAACCTCCCCTAACTGGGATTCGATCTTGCCCAGGAGGTCAACCCCGGGGGTTCCACACTAATAACAGAGACACTGCCTCTGGGCCAAAGCGCCACAGGGGCAAAAGTTAATATTTCATTTCAAATGAATAAAAAGACCATTTCTTTCTCAAAAAAAAAAAATCCAATTAAAACTCAAACTATATTCCTTGGTAACAGACTTGAACTCTATTTTTAAGCACAAGAAAAAAATATATGTAATGAATAGTATTTATTGTGTTTTCCAACAATCCAACAAGTGTGTGGAAGAGACACATTTGAAGCCACGACATGATGCTACCATACTGATACAGACTAAAAATCACTGTGCAACTCCCTCAGCACCATGTTGAATATATGCTTAAAGAACAAAGTCAGTTCTAAAATGAAAGATCTGGCAGTGCAAGACGTACCTAACCAAGTGGCCAGCGAGTGCCAATTTTATTGCCTGATCATATTTTTTTGACTGTCAAGTATTTAGTGTGTCCTTGGCAGTTTGCTGACTCTGTTGATGTCAATTTCCATGTCGATAAGAAAAAAGTATATTTAATTGAAGCGGTGTTTGAATTTAAATTTAATAATTGATCCTTTTTTGACACTCCTGTAACGTAGACTCACACAGTAAGAGAGTAGGGATCGCTCCCTGTCTCCAAGATAAACACACTCTCTCCCCTCAGCTATGTGCTGTCAAACACCTCCGTGTGTGTGTGTTTGTTTGTGTGCACTTGTGTTTATGTGTGGAGGCATAGCGAGGGTCATGTCTAGCCCCACGGCACTTCATTAAAATGCATGTGTTTTGAGAAGTGAGAAGTGTGTGTGTGTGTATATATATTTATACTGAAACTCTGTTTACATAATTGATGACTATGATAATGACACAAGCTGGCAGGGTGTGAGTGTTTGACGTTCAGAGTGAAGGCGGAGGATGCCCTCGTCCCCGTCACCTTTGCACTGACAGTTTGACCATCGACAGCACTTGGTTCTGAGGGCAGAGACGGAGACAGACCCTTGGAACCATGTGGAGAAAACCCACTCTGTGTCTCTCTCCCATATAAACATACATATATATATATACGTATTTATATATTTATATACCTCACTCTCTATCTCTCACTTCCTATCTTTCTCCCCCTTTGGCAAATGTTGTGTGTGGTTGGCTGCATGCCACATGCCGATTGGACGCCGTCGGCACTGCTGGAGCTCCGTGCCACCTGTGCCACACACTCCAACAGCAACCCCCACCTCCCGGCGCACACATACACACACTTCACACACACCATTTGCACCTGGGTCTCTGGGAGAGAATGTTGGGGGAGAAAAACACACAGAGATCTCACTGTCCTCCTTCTAGGTCAGTGGCCCATCTAACTGAATTATTCTGACACCCGGTTGCCACAAAACATTCGATACACGTCAGGTCCATTTCCGAAAATCTTTTGTTTGATCGTTTTAAAAAGTAAAAACAGACTTGTTCCTAACGCTGTATAATAGTTGTGGCTCTGTTGTAATTATTCCAGCAATTTAAGAAAAAAACAAAACAAAACAACACACAAGTTTGTAAACCACTCATCAAACTCAAGGTCTGTTCTCTTTAGAACAAGTCCATTTGGTGCAGAGGAAAAAAAGAACTCCTTACCTGTTTTCCAGTTCAAGTCCAATTTTCTGTTGGAGGTGAAGCATCATAGGCTGGCAATGTGTTGTGTTCACAGGCCTGGAAACAGAGTATACATGTGAAATATTAATATTAAGAATAATTTGAATTTTAATCTAAATGTCAAGTGAAAAGGTCATTTATATTATTAAATTGTTCAATATTTAAATATGAATAACGGCTCAGGTTCAGGTCGTCCTGCGTGGAAATGTGAAATACACAGTGTTTATTTATGCCAGGACAGTGTAAGGGAAATTTAAATATTTAAATAAACTACTTATATATATTTACATATATATCCATATATATATATATATACTATATATATATA